TGTCACTAACGAGATGAACTACTTCAACATGACGGAGATGGAGAGGACCGCCATGCCGCGACTATTCCCGCCTTTCGCACAACTGCCCGTGAAGCTGCCCGATATCTGGAAGAAGATCCTCGCTCTGAGAATGAACAAGGCCGAGATGACGCTGTTCTGTGGCATCCTTCTCATGTCCCCAGGTACGGCGAGATGTTAGCATGACTACTATTATGACCCGATTTACACACAGGGACAAAATTTATTCAAGTCAGGGCCTTATGTGTATAATCTAACTTATGCAGATGAGCAGGATTGTAAAATGTAAGCCATTTACACGTGGTCATCACCGTGCATAAAATTTATGAAAGCACTAAGCATGTCATGGAGGTATGAGATCGACGAGCTCTAGTTTTCTCGTGTATTCATCCGCTATGGGCAGGCCAGACCTCATCACTCAGGTCTCTCATGCCCACTTAACTTGTATGATATGAAAAAAACTTGACCAAATAAAAAAGTGGGAAAGTTTAGACCCTATACATATACCTGTCCCTTCTAGCCCCAAAGTCTCCAGACTAGTTCAGTTCAGTTCATCCTTCTCCAGACTAGACCAGAAAGAAAGATTTTCAAAGATGCTAATTTAAAAAGACTACAATCCTGTGGACCCATTTTGGAGTATCTACTGCACAATGCAATACATGTAGTGACGTCTGCCCAATACAGGCTACATGTATGCATGCCATGGGCATGTTTATGTTGTGAAACATGTCAATCAGCCATGTACAACAGTGCATAACTGTCATTGTTTGGTCCTACATAACATGCGTATCTGTTGTCCGCATGGATGTGTTAATATAGGCAGATCAGCAACAGGATATGAAGGATCAAATTCACCTTTTTCCCATTCCCAGAATGCATAGCACCAGGGGGGGTCAGAATTTTTGTGTTCCTTTGGTGTTTATACATTTGTTGATGACCTTAGTTCTAGGTTGACCCCTTTATTTTATTAGTTTTGCACTGGGGTAAGTTTGGAATAGTCCACTTTTGCGTGGGAGGGAGATGGACTGAAATATGCTGCATTTGCTCCCAAGCAAATGTCGGCCTTTCTAGTGTTTATATATACTACTGTAACATCATCTGTTGAATTATTTTTTAGTTTTTTTTCTCTTTCTCTGCTGACAGACGGTATAATGTTACCACAGTAGAGAGTAACGTTATAAACTACATTTGTGCATGCTCCCTGTTTACTAAAAAAACACATTCAAGAATTTCAAACCGTTTCGAACTTTTATTCAGCCTGTCTCTGAACCTTTTTTCCCTCTGGGCTTTTTCAAGTGTACAAAGTTCGCGGAGTTGCCACTTTTATGCTTATTTTTTATGTTAATGAGAAATTTTTACCATTCAATGTTTTGCAGACACAGCAGGCCTGAAGGACCCAAAAGGTGTTGAGATGTTACAGGGGAAATTGTACTCAATCTTGGAAAAGTATACTCTAGGTAAGTGATGTGAATGAATTTTCAAGTACTACTAGGACTATGTGATACTGTACATTGAGGGGTTGGTTTGGTTTGGTAGATTTTGATTTTATTGAAATTGCAACAATGCAATACACGCTGACCAAAAGGCAGCTGTTGCTGGTGTTGTGTCCCGCACATAGAAACGGATGCTGGAAAGACAATACTCATTTTCACTTGAGTCTAGTGGGGAAAGTCGTGTAAAATGCCTTTCCCAAGGGCACAAGATTGGTGGCATTCACGAGTTGCACATTCCCAGGATCCTTTGCGCCCAGGGTAGGTCACGTGGGCGTCAGGGTAGGGAAAGGTCTTGGTAAACCACGTGACTCATCCTCGGCTCTGGTCGGAAGAAGGTGCCCTAAGCGATATCTGGCCGATAGTAGGCTGGGAGCATTCACATTTTCACGTAGTATGTTGAATCAACCCTATCCTATCCCATACCGATAGTCATGGAGCAAAACTTCGATGCCGCTTTGCCGTACGAACGCCGTGAAAAACTACGTACCTCCCGCCGCCGGCAGTGGTGTCAGCCATTTTTGAAATTTCCGAGCGCTCGCGAACACTTCCGACTTCTTCCGACCAGAGCCGAGGATGAGTCACGTGGTTTACCGCGACCTTTCCCTACCCTGACGCCCACGTGACCTACCCTGGGCGCAAAGGATCCTGGGAATGTGCAACTCGTGAATGTCAGGACTCGAACCCGGGACCTCTTGATTCCGAGTCGCGCACGCTGCCATTGCGCTACACTACCCCACTGGTTTCCATTTCATTCATGCCCACGATCATGATAGTGATCATTTTGGCATACTCATTTACACCTGAGCGAAGTGAGGAAAGTCCTTGTGAAGTGATTTTCCCAAGGGTACAAGGTTGGTGACTTAATATATATAGAATACAACATGGGGTATTCCGTATCGCCTGAGGTATCAGCCCGACCGCGGGTCAGGTCGCCCGACGGTCGCAGGCCGGAGGGCGATCCGACTCGCGGGAGCGCCGGAACCGAGGGCGATGCGGAATACACCATGTTGTATTTTATTTACATGTACGTATGTCATACCCACCCAAGAAAACGCACCTTTCAATGCAGTATGAGCCAAAAGTTGGTGCCACTAAACCCTAAAATGCAACAACATCAATGCCAATGTCCGGATTCTGTATTCGAATTTTCTGAAAGCGGCGCACGCAGTTAGGGCAAAACGCGTTCGAATTGTTCTATAATGGAACCTTAAAGTACTGCCCGGTCCGGATTCGCTTCAATCTTGGTATGAACATGCGGGAGCACACTCTGGACATGACCACACAAAAAAATGTCAGATTTGTGTGACAATTCTTGGGCGTTCGTGGGCGTTTGCTAAAAAGAGAATGCGCCTGGTCCGGAACCCGTTATCAAACATTATCGCGGCCCGGGTATGATATAAATACATGTACATAAGCAATAATTATTATTGTGCTTTTTGTCTGATACTCATTAAAGGTACATGTATGTGAATAGATTTTTTTAAAATGTTGTGTTTTTTTGTCTCCCCAGCTCAGGGAGTGATAGGTGGAGTGAGTGGGGTGGTACGCTTCCAAGCCATGCTGCAGGCCATAATGGCACTCAAGAAGTTGAACGAGGAGCACGCCGAGAAAACCAGGCAGATCACCAAGGTCATGCCGTACCTCAAGATTCCGCAACTCTTCAGTGAACTCCACAAGGTGTAGAGACCAGGCCCGTGTGTGTCGTCAGGTGGTGCAAGCAGGGCAACTCACGCATACAAGCCATCTGTCAACGGTGGACGTATACAAGACATACATACAACGCACAATTTACATACCTAGGAAATACAACTATTAGTATATATATTGAAATCTACTTTATAGGGAATGGGTTAGTGCAATCTCTCTCAGGACCACCCATCCATGAATATTATTATAAAATGGTGACAAGTGGGGGAGGGGTGGGGGGGTAAGTTGCTAGCCCCTCACTGGGAGGCATGCAAACAGTATACATCTATGGGCCTTATCTTACATACATGTACAATGTACATACATGCATGTGACAAGATAGTTCAGGACCAACCCTATGCTCATCATAAGGGCCAGTGTACCATTCAGACTGTTTAGGGCAGTTGCTCAACAGTTCTCAAGGGTAACTTGGTATTTGAACAATTAATAATTATTACAGTTACCTCTGCACAAAGATATCTTCCCCGACTTTTAAGTATAGTTATAATATAAAGAAGAGAGGCACAGATTTCTTTCAAAACCAACGGGTAGTTAAAAGTCTCTAGCTCTGCCGTGAAAAATGTTCTATCGTACAGACCATGTCAGTGTT